CCTGGGTTCAGGCAATTCTCCTGCCTCAGCCTCCTGAGTAGCTGGGATTACAGGCACGCACCACCATGCCCAGCTGATTTTTTGTATTTTAAGTAGAGACGGGGTTTCACCATGTTGACCAGGATGGTCTCGATCTCTTGACCTCGTGATCCACCCGCCTCGGCCTCCCAAAGTGCTGGGATTACAGGCTCGAGCCACCGCGCCTGGCCTTTTTTTTTTTTTTTTTTAATTAAAACTGCATATGCTCAAAACTAACAGGTGTTCCTCTTAAAATGCCTCTCATTTTCACCTTTCTCAGCTCAACATGAGATTTTGAATATTCTAAAGAGCCAGAGGTGTTTCTTCCTTTTTTAAGGCAAGAATTTGACAGCTCTCTTTGAAATGTTAAAAGCAGGTGAAAATCTGTGAACAGTGATTGTCCCCGGGGAGTGGAGTTGAGGCAGAACTTCCACTTTATACCCTGTGTTATTTAAATTAATGTGGCATGGATTGCTTCAGTAATTTTTCTGTAAGCGTTTTAAAAGTAGATAGAATTTGAACATCTGAATCTTTCTTCCTTAGAAACATGTGGTTCTAGGAAAGCCTGCAAATCTGTGAATTGTATATGTGAGTAGGGGAGGAAGAGAGCCCCTGAGATAGGAAATTCTTCTGTTCTTAGCAGAGACTAGTGCCCTTAGTCTCTGTTCTACAGTGAGAAGAAGGGCTGTGTTGAGAGCCTAGTCTATTTCTGACGCCATGGCTAAGTGATGCAGGGACCTTGAGAAAATTACCAAAGACCTGGTTCAGCTGATCTGTGGATCCAGATGAATTTCTCTTCACTAACCAGAGTCTGCCTCTATTTCCTGCACCACCGCTAAGCGATTACAGTCGGTTTTAGGAGTTGGCCTCGTCCCTGAACTCTGCCAGCTAGATTGTTCTTTTTTCTTTTGATGATGGTTTGCCAAAAGCAACAAGGAACTGTTTCAGCACAGAGGGTACCTGTTACAACAGGTAAAAGGTGAGCGCCAGCTGAAGGTGTGATGCTGCCCAGAGAACTCATGACAACACCCTCAAATGAGACTTGAGAAAAATAAAATCATGCTGCTGATCTTTGATATGGACTGTGAATGTAATTCTAAACTTAGGAAGCATCTTTAGGGAATGCTGCTGAGTTGATTAACCCGCAGCAGGCACTCCAAGTAAGAGCAGTGTCCCAGCTAGCAATGCAACCTCAAGAGGAGCCCCATTTCTTTCTCGCCCTCAAGCCTCTCTTGGGCTCCAGCTCTGCAATTGTCTCTGGTAGACTCCTGGGGTCTTCCTGCCCACAACCTCTGCTGTGGCTGTTGTCCGCTTCATACAGACATCAGGACTCAGAGCACAGCCTGCAAAGAGAAATCTCTCTGGGGCCAGACAGGTGACTGACGTAGCAGGATGTATAGTTCAAAGCAACTAGTTTATTTGTGTAGATTACTTTTAGTTTTTGCAAATATATAAAACTAGGCAAATATATAAAACTTTGCAAATATATCAGAATGTCTCTGTAAGGTCTGACCACGCCATCAACGGCATGGTACTCTCTGTGACCTGCACGTACACCCGAGATGAGTTCCTGGAAGAAACGATCAACCCCTGTGGTGCCTAACTAACTTGAGACATTCTTCTAGTGTTTCTTATTCCAGCCTCCATTGACAAGGCCATTGGACTTTGAAACCGACCTTGGCCAACCTCGTGACCCACACTCTACGACCCCCTCCCAGCCTGCAAAAAACCCGCCAACTGTAACTAATGTAACTTTCCACTGTTTAACCCAAACCTATAAAACCAACTCCTATCCCTCCGCCTTCTGCTGACTCCACTTTCGGCCTCAGCCCGCCTGCACCCAGGTGAATAAACAGCCACGTTGCTCACACAAAGCCTTTTTGGGGATCTCTTCATTCAGAGCATGCATTTTCACAGTCTCCTGCCATTGATTTGCCCACTGAGCAGCCTGAGCACGTGGTCTAAATCACTTCTCTAATCTGTAACAAAAAGAGAAGGCCAGTGAAGGGCATTACTGCCGGTATCTGGCAGTGGGCAATGTCTGAATTGGTTTCCAGGAACCAGGAAGATCCTGAAGTGTTGAACCAGGGACTGGCATCTTCCCATTTGTCCTTCGAGCTAGGAACCAGCAACAGTTTTGGTGTTTTTTTTTTTTTTTCTTGGTTAAAAGCGCATCGTTATTAAGGCAAAGGACAGGAAGACACCACAGCACAAGGGCAAATGCATTTCTGTGCATATGCACACATGCATGATATGTGTGAGCATCTTCACTTGCTGATTTCCAGAGGGAGCTCCTGTGGGCTGGCCCATCTTTCTCTCTCCATCCACACAAAATTTATATTTTTTTCTTCAGCCAGGACAACCCCCGACCCATGCTCAATAACATGGAAACAACGTCCCATACATCTTTGCACTCTCATTGCTGGAATGGCATTTCCATGTTCCTCAGTTCCTTTATCCTGTAAGCATTGGGCTTGGTTGCCTCCTCTTGCCCAAGTCTGACCTCCTGATGACAGCTTCCCGGGACCAATGGGCAGGTGTCACAGTGAATCTTCAGCACACCCAAGACATTGCAGAGCTCTGCAACGCTCACAGCTGACCAGAGAGGCCCGACCAGGCATAAAGGTGCAAGGAGCCCACGTGGCCTACCCCTAACCACAGGGATCCTGCCCATCATTTACCCTGGGCTCAGGTGTTGAGTCTCCAGGAGCTCGCCATCCAGTGGGAAACAGCATGCTGAGGTAACGCATCAGCATTACCTGTACCAGGGCCCAAGGAAGGCTTCATTCAATGCAGGGAGATTCTTGAGCTGGGGCTGGAAGGATGAGCAGAGCTGGTTTGGGAGTGGAGGTTGGAGAGGTTCATCAGGGTGCATGGGAAACATCCTAATTTCTACGGAAAAATGTTCCTTCTACCCACCATCTCTCATAGGCCAGGGGTTCTGGACCCTCTGATACCATCTGAGGCCAGAGCCTAGCAAGTGTTCAGACACCCATGCACCATTATTAAAGGGAACTCAGACCCACTCTGATGGAAAAGGAGCCCAAAGCACTCCTTTTATTAGTCTCTACCCGGCTAAAGGACCTCCCTGTCTCCCTTTTGTCAGTCTGATTCCTCTGCTGGTCCAGGAAGCCCACCATGGCCTGGCCTACCATGCCAGGCCATTCCTGATCCAATCTAAGTCTCGGCAAAGCATCCCTCCCTCCCCTACCTTCTGACTGAGCAACCTACCTGCCCTTCCTTCAGTATAGACAGCATTTGCAATGCTGTGAGACAGTCACTTGTCTGCACAGCTTCCTCCATCAACAGGAGCTTCTTGAAGAGGGGCATAGTGTCTTCTGTGTCCCTGGGGCCAAGAGCACGGCTCAGCCCAGGTCACAGGTCCAGTGAATGAGTGGTGTCTGAGCCTCCTACACCTGTCAACAGACTTTCCCCATGCCTGCCCTGGGCAGAGGTTCTTCTCCTCCAGGCCTTGTTCAGGATGACCCTGTGCTTGAAGTGCCTTCTCATTTCATCACTGTCTTAAACATCAAAGTCCAACTGTGGCCCCACCTCCTTTAACAGCTGTGTGAGCACGTTGGTGCAGATGGCTTCTCATACATCCCTCATACAGGCTTGTGAGAGAGGTAGCCCTGTGTCCATTTCACAGATGGGAAGCCGATTCAAGGACATTCAAGGACATGTTTGAAGTCACACCGCTAAGTGGCAGAGCAAGGACTCGAACCCAGCTCATCTGACTCAAGGGCCTGTGCTCCCTACATCTCACTGGTTGCTCAAGACTCATCCTTGGATGAGAATCTGCAAGTTTGTGGTCCTTTTCCCAGACACAGCTGAGGAATGAGCAGGAAGAGCTGCATTTGATGGGATTATTATGATACTAAAAGTTAACATTCAACTCTAGACAGTGACTCTTCCTGGGCAGTTGGTTCCTGCTTTCACCACTGAAGCCAGGGCTGAAACCTCTCCGGGCTGGGCATTTACAGCTCTCGGTGTTACAGGTCACTAAATGCATCTCGAAAGGCTGGTTTTCCTCTTGGGAGGGGCTGACTTTACCCTTTAGAAGAATTCCAAGGCTGCTAGGGCCCTGCCCATTGGGAAACGCCTCTATAAATGTCCACGGTGGCCCCAAGGGAGGACGCTACAGCACAGCTCCCTCCTCAGGACCTGAGTTTGCCTTCTCACCATGAGGCTTCTAGTTCTTTCCAGCCTGCTCTGCATTCTGCTTCTCTGCTTCACTGTTTTCTCCACGGAAGGTAAGAGAGCCCCCAGGGTGCAGGTCTCTGAGCAGGATTTCAGCATCTGGGAAGATTGTGAACAGGATTTGTTGGAGGGCACGCCTTGGCAGGTAGTCCTGAGCCCTGAAAAAGCAGGCTCTTGCTCTTGAACCTACCTCTATAGATATGAATATTTAGCTCTCTTGTCTTTCTTGATTCAGATAGCTGAGTGTTTTAATCCTTTTTTCTCTTGTCTAACCCTCTAGAAACTGCCTACATTTATTTTTTGTTTTAGTGGTGATGGTGATTTAAACTTTTTGTGGGAAGTAGCTATACAAATATATAAAGAGGAGAAAAACACTCATAATTTCATGATTCAAGAGTAACCATGTTCAACATTTTTTTATTTCCTTTCAGTCTTGCATGTAGAATTTTATTTTATTTATTTATTTTTTATTTT